GCTGATAGCCGAGGCCACCAATGGCAGCGTGGGTAGGGCTCACGTGTCACTGGGGATGTATGTGTGTATACATACACACACACACACATATATATATATATATATATATATATATATATTTATTACACACACACACACATACGTGATTTTGCACAGCCCTGCAGCAGTATTTCTGCTATAGGGCAGCAGGAAAGTGGTTAAACACCACGGCCTACCTGAGTATTGTTGCTGATCATGTCCATCCCTTTATGACTCCAGTGTCCCATCTTCTGATGGCTCCTTCCAGCAGGATAATGCACCATGTCACAAAGATCAAATCATTGCAATCTGCTTTCTTGAACATGACAATGAGCTCACTGTACTCCAATGGCCTCCACAGTCACCAGATCTCCATCCAATAGAGCAACATTGGGATGTGGTGGGATGAGAGATTTGCGTCATGGATGTGCAGCCGACAAATCTGCAGCAACTACGTGATGCCATCGTGTCAATATGGACCAAAATCTCTGAGGAATGTTTCCAACACCTTGTTGGATCTATTCCATGAAGAATGAAGGCAGTTCTGAAGCCAAAGGGGTCCAACCCGGGACTAGCAAAGTGTACCTAATAAAGTGGCCAGTGAGTGTATATAAAAAAAAATAGCTTTTGCTGCAATAATTAACTTGAGTCTAGAGCTGTCCCTCGCAGTACTTTTCCACCACTATTTTCCACTACCATTTTTTTCAGTCTGATGACCATCATTCAACTTGCTTCCTCTGAGCCCATGTTGTCCTGAACCTACTGCCATTCTATGGATAGATGGTGACAATAGAGAAAAAGTGATGAGCTTATCGCTCTGTCACTCTGCACTCTCCTCCCATCAGCATATTCCATGTCAGCACATGAACTGACTAGCTCCTTGTACTTTCCTTTTCAATGACTGCAGGATTTTCCCCATTTCCAGACAATTTTAGTGAGAATGGTTATCAGTGCTGAGAGAGGTAGGGGAACAAAAATGAAAAAGTTTGCCAATGCAAAATTTGTTGGATAAATGTGACAAATTTCAAATCAAGCTCAAATCCCAATTTAAGGAAAAAAAAAAAAAAAAAAAAAAAAAAAAAAAAAAAAAGTAAAAAAAAAACAAAAAAAAAAAAAAAAAACAAACCTGTAGCGTTCACGCCTGAAGGGCTTGCTGATTTGTTTCCAAGGTCCTTTCACCAGTTAGTGTGCTAGCAGCCAGGCACACATTCTCAGTCACTCTTCTGGCTCATTCAACAGTCTAGGGGTATCCTTTTTCTGATGCTTTACTAAACTTAAAAGCGGAGTTCCACTCAACCTATCAAAAAATAAAAGTCAGCAGCTACAAAAACTGTAGCTGCTGACTTTTAAAAAACACCCGCTACCTGTCCCTCGGTGTGTCCCCTGGAGCTCATTTCACCGGCCGTCCTGTATTCCAGGAGGCCGGCATCTTCAGTGTGGGCACCCGGCTGTGACACAGCTTGCGGCTTTACAGCCGGGTACCCACTGCGCATGCGCGAGTAATGTTGCGCTTCATGAACGGTCCTGTAGTCTTCTGGGACCTGTCACGTGTCCCAAAAGACTACAGGAAGGGAGCACACCTTCCGCGTCCGATCGTCTAGGTGATCAGACCGGATGTAGGAGCGGGTACCTGTCAAATTCGTGTACCCGCTCCCCAAAAAGTGCCAATCCTTAATGAGGGAGCAGTCCTTAAAGCAGAACTTCCCCTTTTGGGTGGAGCCCACTTTAAACTTGGATGGGTGCAGGTTAACTGTGGGACTCTCCTGATGAGGACAACTTGAGGACATTTCTCACTACTTCCTAGCTAAGTCCTTGAAGCAGCAAGTGATAGACTGGGCTGCACAGGGACCCCCATATGGAACATCCACTTTTAGCCTAGGCTGACACCAATACTAGAGGGATAGCAGCAGCAGCGCACAGTCACTGGGATCTCACACACCGGTCTGTACTTACAGCTGGAGACTTGGATGCCTCTTTCCAATAACATTTCTCCTGTGAACTCTTTAGATCAGATCCCCAAAAGGAAGCCCCTCCAGCAAAGTTCAGTAGAATAGATCCACCAGCTAACATAGCCGGGACCAGGGGTGGACTGACCATTCGAGTCACCATGAAATGCCCCTGGTACCTTTTATAGAGTTTTTTGGGTGTGCTTTGAGTGTGAGCAAGGACACAGGGGCCCCATGATACCTTATTGACCGGGGGCCCCATAAGTTGTCAATCCGCCCCTGGCTGGGACCTCAGTGAGCAAACAAAGAAATGCAGTTGGACTGCTCAGAGGGGCAGTAGCCCTTCAGGGTGGGACCTTCTCCTAGAAAAGAACCCGTCTGCCCCAGGCTAAGCTATTTATGTTCCCTCCCAGCCAGGGGCAGACTGACAACTCACAGGGCCCCCGGGCAATAAGGGATCATGTGGCCCCTGTGTCCTTGCCTAAACTCAAAAAAGCCTTAAAAAAAAAAAAAAAAAAAAAAAAGTACCAAGGGCATCTCATGGGGCCCCCTACTGACCCCGGGCAGTGCCCGAGTTTCCAAATGGTCAGTCCGCCCCTGCTCCCAGCTACCTTCTGAGTACTTTTTCCCAGAGATTGGCAGGAACTGCATAAAATATTCAGATTGTAGATTTCAGGCTTCCAGCCTATTACTTTCCAAAACCATCGAGAAGGCAGGGGAAGCAGTCAAACCCAGAGGCGGTGAAACTCAGAGGAGCTGCTTGTGATTGCTCTGATCTGTTCAAATTGCAGAGAAAACAAAGAACTAAGTTGATCTGGCTAAGAGGGTGCTACAAACCATATCTATACATCTGTTTAAATGTATATTGCTGTGTATATCCACTGGGGAGAAGGTCTCAAGCAGCATTTGGATTATTAGAACAGGGAAAAGGGAAGAAATCAGAACAGGGAATGAGCAGAAACTTCCTATCCAAAATCTTTGACATCTCCCCCCAAAAAGGGGCTGGGGATGGACAAGTTGGGGACCGCATTATATATTAAAAACATGTGCAGACACTGAAAAACAGACAATTAGGATTTTGGACTGTGTGTTTAGAACACAAAATCATACTTTATTAGTTTCAAAATATATAACAAAATGTTGCATTTTTTTTTAAAAAGCGGAGCATTTTTCCCCTCCAAGTCTGAGGTTTACATATATCCCCCATGCATGAAGTGGCAAATACCACACAAGTCCTCTCTCACTGATTTGTCTTCAAATATTTTTGACTGGACTGGGGGAAAGCAAAAAAAAAAAAAAAAAAAAAATTTTTTTGGGGGGGGGGGGGGGGGAAATTTTCTCTTTGTTGTGATTAAACGTCCATCAGCAATGATGAAACAATGGAGCATAAAAAGATCATAACACTGACATGAATAAGCACAGCTGTATAAAAACGAGCAGAGTTCTCAAAACTTTAATCCATTATTAAAAAAAAAAAAAAAAAAAAATTAAAATGTAACAGAAAAATACAACAGATGACATCATTAATAGAAGAAAAAAAAATTTGCATTCATTAATTTTGGAGTGATGCACCGTGACCTACAATATTGAAATCGGCTTTTATCAGTTCTTTGTAGTTGGAAAAAAAAAAGTGAGAGATCAATTTTGATTGGACACCAAGTCTCTTTGTGGGCTGTAGTGCCATGCAGCAAGTCAGTTCCTTAGAAGTACTGCAGTTTGTAATTTGTTCTTTTGCGCAGTTAAAAAAAAAAAAAAAAGGACAGAGGCGGTCTATAGCGGGCAAAGATTATTGATCCACAGACGTACCAAGAATCATGCATCGTTATGTTAAATTTTATGGTTTTAAGTCACCAACTCTGGTCCTCATTACCTTCCCTTGACTTCAAAACAGTAGAGGTTTACCAAAAAAACCAGTTTGTTTAGACAAGTGGTAGACACATGCAGGGGCGGACTGACCATTTGGAAAATCGGGCACTGCCCGAGGGCCCGGGGTCAGTAAGGGGCCCTATGAGATGCCCCTGCTACCTTTTTCATAGGCTTTTTTGAGTTTGGGCAAGGACACAGGGGCCCCATGATCCCCTATTGCCCGGGGGCCCCATGAGTTGTCAGTCCGCCCCTGGACACATGCCACCTGTTTGGTGAGGAGAGGGACGGGTGGAGTGTCCCTTCCACTTGTTTAAGTCTTGCAAGCCGTGTGGCTCTAGTTTTTTTCCCTATGATCTATTTGTGCCACACCAAAATAGGGTTTGCTCTGCTTGTGAAGTCTACAAGGATCCATTTCATTGATTGCAGTATGAACTCTACAAGTAGAACTGCACGAGCGTACTTTCCCAAGACCCTAGACAACCCAAGATCATACTTCGCATCGCGCAGTTACACAATACAAAAAAAACCTGTCCTGATCACTTGAGGTAGTACACCCCTTTTTTTTGGATGGTATAAGCCATCACCCAGCCATGGTGGTCAAGATGAACAACTCATAGCAAGCGGTTCTCAATTACTATAGTAAGATGACCAAAATTTGACTTCTAACGTTACTTTGCCAATTGCCTCTTTGCTAGAGTGCAATTCATCCAATAGGCTTCTCGTGCCTAGCAAGCCATAACTATGGTGGTAGATGCTTTTGATTTTATAATAGAAGTGGGATTATAATTGCTCCTGTAGCCAAGACCCTAGTTTTGCAATATAGGTGAACATAAATCCTAATTTTCACAGCATCCAGACATTAGGCGCTTCTTCATTTTGGATAGGCATGTTTACTTTTCAGCATTAATTATATATATATATATACACACACACAAAAAAAGTGTTCATACAAGTTGGCAGAAGACTCCTAAAATTGATGTTTCTGCATCATGTGATGGGCAGCGTAGAATAACCCTTGTCCCCACAAACTCCAATATTTCATCAGTCAGAACAAGTTTCCGGGGGTCTGGGGGGTATTTAGCTCCTGTCTTCCATATTGGACTTGCGATGGCGGGTCTTTTAAAAAGCTTTCAAGATGGTAGAGGAGGCGGCGGCAGCAGCAGCAGGGTTTTAATATTCAATTCTGGTCCAGTAGAACATGGTTCCAAGCAGCACCCAGAACTAAAAGATATAAAATAAATAGATCAACCATTTAGAACAAATAGTGCCCACAGACAGAAACCAAAGAAGACGCAATGTTTAAAACCGACACATATGTAAGCAGTGGAATGATTAAAGATCTGCAACTCCACTTAAAAAGGAAGTGGCTCAACCCCAACTTCTTTTGTGGCCGTCTCATTGACAAGTCACATGACAGAGCTTCAAAGGAGGAAGCCTCTGAAGCCACAGAAGTCTTGAGGGTAGGAGCAAGTACACAGTATTAAATCAAGAACAAATAACTACATCATAGTGACTATAGCAGGAATATTCAGCTACTGTTGTAAGGGGGTCCTTGGAGCACTAGGAGGAACTGGCAATTGCCTGGTTTCAACCCCCAATGCTGCCCTTGATATTTTGAGTACTGTAACAAAGTAACTGCTAATCTCAGTTCAGAACTGGAAAGCCAGAAATCTCATAAAATTGCAGAAGTATAGCATGATATACATACTCTAAACTTTCCATGGAGGATGCAAGATATACTTTCAGTTTCCATGGAGGACAGAGAACAAGACCAATGGACCTCACCAATGGAGTCCTGAGAGTAATGGAAAGCCAGCTTTGGTTTGGGTCAACCTCCTCCATGAACTGCTATATCTTAATCTTTACAGGATACCAGTACTATGCTCATGATACAGAAAAATGGCAGCTGATTGCACTCAAGACGCTGACTCACCGTGACTAAAAACTCAACCAGGTAGTATAGGATGGTCTCAGCTCTCCTCTCCACCTGCAGGAGAGGCCCCTCAGACGCATTTCACCCCATAGCGGGCTATATCATTCTCATTTACGACATCACTAGCATAGGCCACTGATTGAGGTTGTAGACTTCAATCTTTAGCCTCCAAGAATTAAAATTGGAAGTTCACTTCTAAAACCTAAATCAACCCCTCTATGCCTCCGTACAGAGTAGCTGTCTAGCTGAAAAGCAGGTTAGACCACAGGAGGTGTGAAGAACATCTTCCAGCAGTTCAGAACATGACAAAAGGGGCTTCAAACTCTTCTACAGTCTACTGTTCCCCATACACCATTGTAGCAAATAATTTTCACCAACACGACAGGCGCTCAATCCTTGAGATCAAAACATTTGAAATCCATATACTTATTTATTTCTCCGAGAACAAAAAAAATACTTACCGTCCAGCATAGAATTGCAAATCCGAACCAACAAATACCCCAAGCATGGCGATTCAATGGACCAGCAATAAAGTCGTAACAGCCCTAAGTAATGGAAATAAAATAAAGATTTCAATGTGAACCCACTGCTCAGACATCAGAGCTGACTCAAGGAAAAGGTAATTTCAGACTGCTATGTGCCCTGGATGTCAATGTGAAGTACGATTCTGTATCCCTCTGTTAAATCCTCCCTCCCCATAATGCCATCATGAAGGATTAGGTTTTCAACCTACTTTAAAAAAAAAAAAAAAATAAAGTAGTGTAAGACGAATTTCTGGAATAAAACCTCAAGAGATAGTACTAGTTAGAAGGATGGTTCAGGTGTATTTGGGCCAAAAGAAATAACCAGTAGCTATACAAGGTTGTTCCCTTTTTGTAGAGGACAACTCTAGAAGCCATCTCATGACATTTATAGGGAGAAGATCCTTACGTTTAGATAGAGGTATCCCGAGATGCCCAGCCTGCACCCATTAACGTCCAAAGGGGTTCCTAGACTGTTCATGGCGCAGCATTGCCTTGGCCAGGGGTAGGCGGAGTCCATGTTGTAGGTCCGGAATGAGGAGTTAAAGGTTTGCCAGTCCAAGGGGCTAGACACACCGCAGCACTTCTTCTGCAAAGGAAATGGCAACGTCTCTTTAGATTCAGGTCTTTGCTACCTCCATTAAATAACATTTTATGCATTGATTGGGAAAATCTCAGAATGCTTTTTCACACTTAATATGTATATTCACCCCCCACCTTCCTCTACAATTTTCCTGCTAGGCTTGGCACTTTGTAACAGGCCCACATGGTTAGGGATGTTTCTCTGCCTCACAAAACCTAATCAGTACCTCATGCCTTACCCATGGGACACTGTGCTTTGTATACCAAGGAGCAAGTTGTATGTTCAAACTTTATAGGGCCCTTGTGCCCAACCTGTGGCCTGTATGCGGCCCTTTGCCACTTTGTGCAGTCCTCTCACTAATCCGTTACCGTTTTGCCCTGTCATAGTAGAGATTTCTACCGTTTCCTGAAGCATGTCCCCAGTTTCCAACAACTTTTAGTAGGTCGACATGCTCTTGCAGCGTGTCCAAAGTCATTGGACCATTTCTTGTATCACGTCCGCATTCTCTCTCTAACCAGCTCTTGCATCATTTCTGCAGTTTCTGACCATCTCCCGTATTATGTCCAGTCTCTGATCATCTTTTGTATCATACCCATAATCAGGGGTGGACCAACAGCTCATGGGGCCCCCGGGCAATAGGGGATCATGGGGTCCCTGTGTCCTTGCCCAAACTCAAAAAAGCCTATGAAAAAGGTAACAGGGGCATCTCATGGGACCCCCTACTGACCCCGGGCAATGCCCGAGTTTCCAAATGGTCAGTCCACCCCTGCCCATAATCTGACTATATCCTGTTGTGTGCATGTTGTCTCCAATAAAGAATATTCACTTAATTTTATGTATTACCCTTTGGTGATGACAGGGGCCATGCTTGAGGCCTCCTGTAGGCAGGTGCACTCTGTATTCCCTTCTGTAGATGGAGCCAGAAGGGGAAGGAGGGTATGGAGAACTTTGTTCCGCTACAACTTCCTGCCAGAATCAAGGAAGCATCTGTCCAATTGGACACTGGAGCCCTGATTGGCCATATTTGGTGTGGGCAGTGCTTATTTGAGACACGGCATGCATTATGTGAGTGATTAGTGTAAAGACAGATTCCCCCTCTATCAAGAAGAGTATTGAGAGTTCGAGGGATTCCTAAGGAGTAGGAACAGGTTAGGGACTATGCCTATCTTCTGCTTTAGGAAGCCTCCGATTTGTTTGTGGACTGGCCAGGTTGCATTCCCGCTCCTCATTGCAGAAGCTGTCGGCATCATCCGAAGTTAACAGACCTCTGCTAGAGTTTCCTTAAGTGGCTCCGGATGGTTGTGCCTACCCTGCCAAGACTAGTAGTACCTTGCTAGAACTTTCTGTAATACACTTATCTACCTCAGCCTCTGTGTGATGACTGCTCACCCACACTACGCTGCTCCCTTCTCACACCCCATATTAAGAAAATTGACCACCACTGTTATAGGGGGTAGCCAACCATGCCTGACCCTTGAGGATATCCAGAAAAGCCCTTAGGGACCCTGTAAGCACCTCATCTTGCAGGGTTTTCTTTGCTGCCACCCACAAGCTGAAAATGTGTCCCAACATGTTCCATTCTATGAATCTGCATCCTCCAATCAGTCAGCATACCTAGTGCCAAGAAAAACACCCAGTGTCACTTCTAGATACTTGCACCAAATCAAAAACTTCAATCCAGGAGACTTTCATTCAAGTCATTGACTGGGATGGGTTCCTGTGCAATGGAAAAATCATTCCAAACACCTAAAAAAAGGTCATGTATACTTCAAAAAGGGGACTCTTCATTCCTCTAAACACTTGGGATCTCGCACCAAACTGGGGGTGACATTGTCATATAACATCCTCCCACGACACCAGCTCTGCATCAGAAGGGGCCATTAAAAGGATTTACAGAGACACCCATAGGTCATTCTAAGAGTGATTGTATTAGATAAAGAACACAAAGCGATACAACACAACTACACTGCTCAAAAAAAAAAAAAAAAAAAAAAAAAAAAAAAGGAACACTTTGAAAACACATAAGATCTCAATAGGGAAAAATATCATGTTGGCTGTCTATACTGATATGTACGGTGTTAGGAACGTAAGGATGCCCCATCGTTTGATGGATATTGAAAATCAACATATAATCTAAGGTCCCCAACTCACATTAATACATACACATACTAGGGCCAATTTAGACTGGAGCAAATTACCTACCAGCATGTCTTTAGAGTGTGGGAGGAAACCAGAATACCCTGAGGAAACCCATGCAGGCACAGGGAGAACATGCAAACTCCAGGCAGGTGGTGCCAGGCAGAAGTGCTAACAATTCAGCCACTGTGCTACCCTCATGGTCTATTGGATTTAGGTCAGGCGAGCGTGGGAGCCATTCAATGGTATCAATTCCTTCATCCTCCAGGAACTGCCTGTATACTCTCACCACATGAGGCCGCATTGCCGTGCACCAGGAGGAACCCAGGACCCACTGCACCAGCGTAGGGTCTTCCATTAGGTATCGGGATGAAATCCTTGGACCCATTGTCAGTCAGGGTGCCATTGTCTAGCCTGCAGAGATCGGTGCGGCCCACCATGGATATGCCTCCCCAGACCATCACTGACCCACCACCAAAACGGTCATGTTGAACGATGTTACAGGCAGCAGAACGTTCTCCACGGCTTCTCCAGACCCTTTCATGTCTGTCACATGTGCTCAGGGTGAACCTGCTCTCATCTGTGAAAAGCACAGGGTGCCAATGGCGGACCTGACAATTCTGGTGTTCAATGCAGATGCCAAATCAAGCTCTTAAGGTGCCAGGCAGTGCGCACAGGGTCTACTAGAGGACGTTGTCATGAAGTTGGTTTCTGATTGTCTCTGAAAAAAAACATTCACACTAGTGGCCTGCTGGAGGTCATTTTGTAGGGCTCTGGCAGTGCTCATCCTGTTCCTCCTTGCACAAAGGAGCAGATACCGGTCCTGCTGAGGGGTTAAGGACTTTCTATGGCCCTGTCCAGCTCTTCTAGTGTAACTGCCTGTCTCCTGGAATCTCCTCCATGCTCTTGAGACTGTGGTGGGAGACACAGCAAACCTTCTGGAAATGACATATATTGCTGTGCCATCCTGGAGGAGTTGGACTGCCTGTGCAACCTCTGTAGGGTCCAGGTATGGCCTCATGCTACCAGTAGTGACACTGACCCTAGCCAAAAATAGTGAAAAACAGGAGAGGAGTAAGGAAAAAGTGTCAGTGGTCTCCACCTGTAAAACCATTCCTGTTTTGGGGGTTGTCTCATTGTTGCGCATCTAGTTCAACTGTTAAATTTCATTAACACCAAAAGCAGCTGAAACTGATTAACAACCCCCTCTGCTACTTAACTGACCAGATCCATATCCCAGGAGTTTCATTGGCTTGATGCAATACTCTGATTAAAAAGTCTTCCGTTAATTTTTTTTGAGCAGCGTGTATATCCTGCAAGAGAGATGGCATTACCAAAAGCATGAGGGAGTTCCATGTGTCGGTCACACCATTGGTCTTTATCACCTCGTCGTTGATCTGATTTGGATCGTTGTTCTGGTAATACTTCAACATTTGCTGTAGGAAAAGGTTCGTGGTGAACTAAAAAAAAAAAAAAAAAAAAAAAAAAAAAAAAAAAGTTATATTAACCACTTGAGCTCCAGAGGATTTACCCCCCTTAATGACCACGCCTCTTTTTGCTACTCGGCGCTGCACTAATTCAGCTGATAATTGCGCGGTCATGCAATGCTGCACCCAAACTAAATTTACGTCCTTTTTTTTTCATACAAATAGAGCTTTCTTTCGGTAGTATTTGATCATCTGTGCGCTTTTTATTTTTCACGCTATAAACAAAAAAAATGGCCAAAAATTTTGAAGAAAAACAATATTTTTTACTTTCAGCTTTAAAAAAATATATAGTAAACTCAAAGTTGGTTATAAATTTAGGCCAAAATGTATTCTGCTACATGTTTTTGGTAAAAAAAATCCCAATGAGTGTATATTGATTGCTTTGTGTGGAAGTTATAGCGTCTACAAACTATGGTATAGATACTGCAATTTACGCCATTTTTCTGCTATACAGCGCTGCGCTAGTTTAACGGACAATTGCGCGGTCATGCAATATGGTACATAAATTAAATTTACATCCTTTTTTTTCCCCCCACAAATTGAGCTTTCTTTTGGTGGTTTTTTATCGCCTGTGCGGTTTTTATTTTTTGCGCTATAAAAAAAAAAAAAAAAGGCTGACAATTTTGAGAAAAAAACACAAACAATATTTTAGACTTTTTGCTATAAAACATGTCCAGTAAAAAAAAAAAAAAAAAAAAAAAAAAAATGCATAAATCAAATTTAGTCATAAATTTCTGCCAAAATGCATTCTGCGACATGTCTTTGCTAAAAAAAAAAAAAAAAAAAAAAACAATACGTGTAAATTAATTGGTTTACGTGAAAGTTTTAGCATTTACAAATGGCGGGAAAGATACTGGGATTTTTAGGTTTTTTTTTTTATACTAATAATGGCGGCGATCAGTGAATTATGGCGGCGATCAGTGACTTATGGCAGGACTGCGGCGGACATTCTGACATTGGGGGGTACCGACTTGGGGTCACTGACATCCCCAAAAACACTAATACAGTGATCAGTGCAAAAAGAAAAAAAAACACTGACACTGTACTAATGGCACTGGGGAGGAAGGGGTTAACTTTATTTTGCAGGGAAGGGTTATAGGAGTGAGGGGAGTGTTTTACTAGGGGATGGGGTGTGTGCTGCACGGGACAAGGCTGATCGAGAGAGAGAGAGAAACTCTTCTGTCTTGATCAGCTCATCCTCGAGCTGACAAGGAAGTGACAGACAGCACAGCTACTGCAGCTGTGCTCTCTGTCACTGTTTACCGCCTATCGCCGGGAAACAGCCGCTAAGGACCGGCTGTGACCCGGCGACTGACATCCGCGGCAGTGATCGGCGGGACAGATAGGGCGGCGGCGCGCCACGCGCGCGCCCGTTTACAAAACACACGTTTTAAACCGTTGTTTTGCCTGCCAGTGCCGCCCTATTTCTACAGTGGCAGGACGGCAAGTGGTTAAGAACAGGATATGCAAGATCCCATCTGTATGCCTCCTGCTGCAAGTTAAGGATTCTTAGATTGTAAGCTCTAACGAGCATGGACCTCCGATTCCTCTTGTACCAAAAATTGTATTGTAACCAATGTCTGCTTTCATTTTGTAAAGCGCTGCACAAACTGTTGGCACTTTATAAACCTTCTATGATAAGAATATTGGTATGGCATTCATTGGGTGTAGTTAGCAGGTGTTCAGGTTTATTTAAAGCTGGACTTTTAGGTGTGGCAATTTTTACATCGTGTCATTGGTCCAGCTTACCAATGTAATTATGTATGTGCCATACCTGACCAGGGGCGAACTGACAACTCATGGGGCCCTCAGGCAATAGGGGATCATGGGGCCCGTGTCCTCTCCCACACCCAAAAAAAAGCCTATGGAAAAGCCAATGAAAAAAAAACAAAAAAAAAAAAAAAAAAAAAAAAAAAAAAAAAAAAAAAAAAAAGGTACCAGGGGCATCCCATGGGGCCCCCTACTGACCCCGGGCCCTCGGGCAGTGCCCGAGTGCTCGAATGGTCAGTCCGACACTGTACCTGACCCTTCCAGGTTCTGTGCTGAGCGACTGCCCTGCTGCTCACTAAATACTGGAGGCCGCCCAATTGGCACAAATGTCAAGTGAAAGCTTTGCATTCTCAATGAATACAAGTTATTTTCTGTTTGGATGTTGTGGAGCAGGGAGGTCCACTAGAGATCCCAGAGGGAATCCTTTTTACCACGCCATGAAGCAAATAATCATGGCCTTGGCATGTGTACAATCCTGCCTGGCTAACCTTGTAGCTTAAGATGGAAAAATGTTCATAGGCTCAAACGGTCTAGTTTTACCACCCCTAAACTGCAAGGGTAAACCAAGCCTTACTTTTATAGGGTAAAGCAGTGGTCTCCAAACTGCAGCCTGTGGGGACGGGTGCGGCCCTTCGCTTAAACTTTATTATTTGGCCCTTGGGGCACTATGCCTCCCACTGATATGAAGCACTATTCCCACTGACATGAGGCACTATTCTTCCCGTTGACACCAACAAGGAGGCACCATTCCTTCCATTGACAGCAAAAATGGTCAATGGGAGGAATTCCTCATTCCCCACCAAGGCTAAGGCATTGTCTACTCAGCATTGGGCCCTTCTTGACTCACACTGGCCAATGGTTTAGAACGTTTGGAGAGCCCTATAGATGAATTCCAGGTATAGTATTTTGGTTCTGCCTCTCCACCTCATCCAACCAGCGAATGCTTTGCATTCATTGAAAAGCATCCTCTGAATGGCTTCTGTGCCGACCAGCCATCCTCCTGTGTTCAGAATGCAGCCACACAGGACCCAGGAGCAAGTGGAGATGATCAGAGTAGCAGTGTCCACTCCAGAGATTTCCAGCTTTCAGGGGCATCGGTCAGGTATGGTTTAAATGTAGTTACATTGGACCAAGCTTGTCCAATGTATCCATGTATAAAATATCCATACTTGGAATTCCTCCTTTTTTAAGGTTGCCTTTTTTTTGGTTTTTATTTTTTGTTTAACACCAAACAAATTACACCCAGAAGCACCAATTGGAGGGCTTTGTAGGAGAAAGAGCTTGTATAGCAGCCCTCCAAAAGGTTAAAAAAAAAATTACCATTATAGTCCCCCTTTGATGTCAGTCCAGATCAAATAAGAATTCTGAAAATTCAAGTCAAATTTTGTGTTTGACCCAGATTTGAAACTCAGTGCTAGTTGAGATTAACCAGCCACAGACAACAGCCCAACTCTGGTATCTCTGTATTGCTTCCTTTGTGTGAAATCCCTAGCATTCCTGCCAGTCCTCTGGCTTTCCTCTTTCAAAACTGACCACACTATGTACGAGAGCATATCCATCCTAGGTGGTCAGTTTTCTGGCTTTGCCAAGGGCACAGCCTGCCTGTCCTTTAAGGATCATACTTGTGCCAACACGCTCCCTTTGCCATTCACTGTGAAGAGAACTGTACTGAAAGATAGCTCAGACAGTGTCAAACCTCCCCAATGTTTCCTCAGCACACTAGCTGAAATCTGGAATCAGGTTGATGCTGGGGTTGTCTTCTGAAATGATTGGGAGAAAGCAGACGCTATGTGTTGCCTGCTATACCTTTACAAATCAAGGGCTCTCACAGTCTCACATTTCAGACAATGATCAGGGGATATCATCTCACTTTTTAAAAAGGGACCTCTGCTGGTAGAGATAAGCAGCCATCTACACCTCCCACCATCTTACAATTCACCATCATAAGAAATTTCACTCTTAAACTCCTATCCATACTTACAAAGTCTCTTTGAGTTGCTGCAGTAATTGCAGAGGCCACTTCAAAGCAATAGACGACAAACATCAGGATTAAATACTATATAAAAAGACAAAAACAAAATAAAAAATAAAAAAAAAAAAACCACACAACAACTTACATGTTAAAAGATTCTATTTTCAAATTTGTACAATACAGTGATATGTGCCATATAACTGTCAATGATAATACTGAGCAGAGTTTTCAGAGTGTCTCTGGGCTGGTGGTAGACGTTTCACAGCCATTCTGTTTAAGACTGCTGCTAGCAAGACTTCCAGAAGGCATATTAGAAGTGCAAATTATAAATTACAAAAAAAAAAGAAAAAAAAAAAAAAAAAAAAAAAAAAAAAAAAAAAAAAAAAGGGGTTTGCAGATATCAAGATGAGCAGAGTAAGGGTACAGAATTGGCATTTTGTAAATCATTCCTTTGCTGGCAACAAGAGGATTCTACATTGCAGGGCAATTTTGTCAGGACATCAAAATGAAAGAAGGGGGGGGGGGGGGAAAAAAAAAAAAAAAAAAAAAAAAAAAAAAAAGGGAAGAAGGAAGACTAGGTATGCCGAAGGATTTCCAGCAACAAGTTTTCCTAACAGAGTGCACCTTCAACCTCCAACCATAAACAAGTGCAACATACAAGATTAAAATATAAAACCTGGAGATAAGATATTTTATTCCGAAATAAGAGGACTTCATAATAGAACCAACCCATTTCAGGAGGTCAGAACATCCTTCATCAGGGCTACAAAGACATTTCTTCGGCTGGATGAAGGGACACGCTTCCGGCCCCTTGATGAGGGGATGCGCCTCTGACTATACTCGCCCTTCCTCTCTGCTGCCAATTCACAGAAGCCTCTATATTTTGTGAATGTGTTCACATAATACATAGGCTTCTTTGACTGGGTAGGAGGAGGGGAGGCCATAGGAGTTGCAGCGATTCTAATTTTGAAGATGCTGAGACCAGATCTTCCAGTGTCAGGCTCCCAGAACTACAGAAATAGCGGTCTTGGGAGAGTTCGATAAACCGGTCAGATGTATAGAGATAAGCCCAGGAGGTTCCAGGCACCTCGTTGGACTTAACTCATAGTGGGCCTTCACTTTTTACAAAGGAGCGTCATTTCTGGAGTTCAGCCTAAAAGTTTCTAATTTTGGAATAAATCTATTGGGCAGCACAGTGGCTAAATGGTTAGCACTTTCGCCTGGCAGCACTAGGGTCGTTGGTTCAAATCCCAGCCACGGCACCACCTGCCTGGAGTTTGCATGTTCTCCCTGTGCCTGCATGGGTTTCCTCTGGGTACTCTGGTTTCCTCCCACACTCCAAAGACATGCTGGTAGGTTAATTGGATCCTGTCTAAATTGTCCCTAGTATGTGTATGTATGAATGTAAGTTAGGGACCTTAGATTGTACGCTCCTTGAGGGTTAGGGACTGATGTGAATGTACAATATATATGTAAAGCGCTGCGTAAATTGATGGCGCTATATAAGTACCTGAAATAAAAAATAAAATATCTGGACGATGACCTCCTGGTGTAGCGCTTTAATCTCAGATTCACTTAAAAGCCACACCTGGCTCATTCAGATATTAATGTATTCCAAAATAAGAGGACCAGCAAATTTCAGAAGGTCAGAACACCCCATCATCAGGTCAACAAGGATACAGTAGAATTTTGCTTCAGTCGTATCTTTGTACCCCCGTCCAAAAGGGACTCGCCAACCCCCGACAAAAAAATTCACTCTGTGATAAAGTCTTAGAGATGTTTATTTTGGAGTGAATCTTTACCTGGATGATTACCTCCTGGTGTAGTGCTTCAATCTTGGATTCACTTCGTTACAACCCAAAAGGGAATAGTGGAAATTCTTTGGCATGGAGAAGCTGTCGGCAAAGAATCCAAACAACTTCTCCAAAAACTACTATGATTGCTTTTACAATAGGATCACCCTAGGGTCCCAGGGCTATCCTATGACCCTTGTGACCACAGAGGCCACTTCCAACAGATAGACATGATAATGTGCAATGAAAAAGAGGGACAAGCAGCCTACAATGTGGGTCAGCACTAAAAGGGCTTGCAACATTCCTGCTCCAAAAGAAGCTACAAGGTGAGATGTTGGCAGATAATAGGCTTTGATTGCTGGCACCCAGCCTGAAAAAATTAACACACACAAATGTAACTTGAAATCAACCCAAAGCACCTACCGCCATTAACATCCTCCTGTTGGATTGCATGATGCCAACAATTCCCAGGATGGATAGCAGGAAGAAGCAGAAGCCAGTGAAGATCCCAATCCAGGCAGCCGCAAAGAGGTCATCATTACCAGTGGCATTAAGCAATGGGTAGAGGCGTTCCTGGTCCGACACGAAAAAGATGCACTCTGCTGTCAAGGCGAGACCGGCAAGCTGGGGGCACAAAGAGGAACAATGAGGCCAAATTGGTTTTTTACCACATTATGCATGAAAAATGCCTTTTCAAGGCTATTAGGCATCATTTCACACTGAAGCACCTGTGCAGATTTCTAGTTTTCAGTCCTCATTGTCAAAACCGACAAAGTTACAGCTGAAAGTTCCACTCATCCTGACAAACTGTAGCTGCAGACTTTTAAAAAACAGCCACTTACCTGTCCCTCGGTCCTGCGGTGTGTCCCCCGCAGCCCATTTCACTGCCCGTCCTCTATTCCAGGAGGCCAACATCTTCAGTGTGGGAAAGCCATCACAGCTGGGTACCCACTGCGCACGTGCGAGTAGCGCTGCTCTTCATGAATGGTCCTGTAGTCTTCTGGGACCTGTCACGTGTCCCAAAAGAATACAGGCTGGGAGGACTCCTTCCGATCACCTAGGCGATCGGACCTGAAGTGGGAGCGGGTACCCGCTCCCTCCCAAAAGGTGCCAATCCTTAGTGGGGAGGGGGTGGGGAGACAGTCCATAAAGCGGAACCTCCCCTTTTGGGTGGAGCTCTGCTTGAAGTTTAAAAAAAAATTTGCAGTTACATAAGCGACCTGTATTGAAGTGTAGCACCCCTCTACATAGCCAGGGGGAGCTAGTTTTTTTTTTTAGTGAGGAAGGCAGAGTAGTAACCTGAGCATGAGTCAACCAGGTTACTTGGTCAGGGCTGAGGGCTGTGCAGATCAGTTCCCTGACACCTACACCCCTGCTCTAGACGCTTGAGAAGTATCTAGAAGGCAGAAGGTGAGGGTGATGATGAGAGACTGATCTGCATACTTAAGGGATCCGGACCAATCCCTGAGCGGGAGGCTTGGCATGGGGTCAGGAAAGCCCTTAAGTATGACTGAGCCTGCTCAGCAGCAGAAGCGCTCCGATGGAAGATGGGAGGCTGGGATGTAGGAGCCTGCAACGGGGCCCAGTGGTAAGTGGCCTGCTTCCAGGATGGACCCTGAGGGAAGGATCGCTTGACCTCACCAGCCCAGCAGAAGGCCTGAAGGCAGCCACCAACCCAACAAGCCTGCAGGCGAGGAACAGCGAGCAATCCTACACCCCCTTGGGCCAGATAAGGGGAGAGGGCATTCTGGTGGGAAACCTGACTAGCCCCGTCACATCTGGGACTGTGCACTTAAAGCAACAGATTCTGGGACCCCTTGCTCAAGGACTCCCTCAATACAGCTGATGAGAACAGGGTTCATCTGGGGTCTGGGGGTGGTAGGCCAAGAAAGGCTGGAGAGCTCTCCAAGAGGAGATCTTCTATAGAGACCTGTACATTCAGTTATTCAGGAGTTGGCCTCAGTTACAGTTCCCTTGGGCATCCCATACATCCCTTAACCCCATCGGAGTGTATTACCCCTTAATACAATCACAAAAAAATCAAGTCTAAGGACTGGTTTACTGTCTCCTATGTGCAAGGTCTAAAGAAAAGTGTTGCCTGGCTGTGCAGGACTCAAAAATGCAGTAACTCCTAAGGGGGTAGTGCTACAGAAGTATCCCCATGTCATGAAGGCTGACACTATGTGGAAATTCATTACAGGGTGCCTGGTCCTCTTCCTGGCACTGAACTTCCAGCATAGCAGTTAATAGCTTTGGGTCTTTGGACTAAATTTCAAGATGAAGTCCAATGGGGATCCACCTCTTCCTCCTCTCATCCACTGAGAAGAGCCTATGCATGATTTACACTAAATGTATTACAATATCTAAATAGGAGAGGGAATCCTGCCATTCATCTGACACCCCTCCATTCAGAGATTATATTACATTCAGTGTAAACAATGCATGTGCTTTTCTCAATGGATGAGAAGGGGGCAAGTCCCAGTCAGACCATCCTGAATGCAGTTCAGCCCAAAGACCTGAAGCTATTAATGCCTGCCACACTGGAAATTCAGCACAAAGAAGAGGACCAGGCACCCTGCAAATAGGATTTCTACATGAAGCAGCAGCAGCTTGTAGGATGTGGGGCATACTTCATTACAGAATTGATTAAACTTTGGTTTATATTAGATCAAAAAGTTAACTGGGCACTGCTAAACTTGACCTGGGCATCTACACCTTAAAAAATGCTTCCCCAGAAACGTACTATCCCGGGCCACATCCTGTGTGCCTCTTCCACACAAACAGTGCTGATGGACAAAAAAAAAAAAGTCTACTTACCCCAATTACCACATTGCCAAAAATGAGGATGACCTGAAAACAGCGAACTCCCGAGTCTCCTGCCATTGTCCCAAGAGATGACAATCTATAAAAATGGAAAGAACACAGACACTGAGTTTTGATAAATAAAAAAAATAAAAAAAAATTGAAGTGCCATTTTAATTGAGAAGTTATAGAAGAAAAAAAAAAAAAAAAACGCACATAAAATTTAAAGTTGAAAGTTAAAATTTAACCATAGAAATGTAGTCCGGATGCATTTCTGCACATTTTTGATGCGTTCCTGTGCATTTTTTTTTACCCTCTTTTTAGTCACCTTACATAAAAGGACGCGTGCCCCTGTGCGTTTTACTACGTTCCAGTACAGTGCAGCAGCTTCTAATGCACACTGTGAGGAGCTCAGAGTATACAGTGAAATCAGAGTAAGCTATTTCAGTCCAGGACAGGAGCAGGTACAACACACAACTACCAATCTCTCCCATTCTTAAATTTACTGTACCTAAAAACTAGAAGAAAAATTGTCTAGGGTGTATAGAGTGGAGAAGGATCAGAACCCCTGCCAGGTATTTACTGACACCTGGGGCAGCATGCATTGTGTTCAGCATCCCCAGCAGATGTGTGTTCCAGGATCACCAGCCTACAAACAGAAGTCAGTGGGGTGGACTGGTGCTACAAAGCAATGTCTGGATGAGAGAGGAGCTAGTACAACTGTGCAAAAACACAGCAACTACCGATCTCACCTATTCTTCTTAAATCTACTTTATACTGCCTAGAAAATTTCTCTCTTCTAGTTTTTAGGTAAAGAAAGTTTTAAGAAAAATGGGTGAGGTCGGTAGTTGCTGTGTTTGCACAGTTGTACAGGCTGCTCTCTCATCCAGACTTTGCTATGTAGACTGGTGATCCTGGAACACATCTGCTGGGGATACTGAACACAACCCATGCTGCCTCAGGTGTCAGTAAATACCTGACAGGGGTTCCAAATCTTCTCCACTCTACCTAAAAACTAGAAGAAAAAGTATATGCATTACAGAGTGGAGAAGGGTTTGAACCCCTGCCAGGTTTTCCCCTCACCTGGCCCCTGTTAGAGGCTTTCCCCCCAGTTCCTGTCCTGCCAACACAGATTCACTGGACAGGAAGTCTGAGCTCCACTTGTAAGATAATTAAATTTGTCCTGGTCATGGACAAGGGGAAACCGATGTGCAAGACCTCCCTCTGACACTAATTTCTACTAAATATCCAGGCCTTTTGCGTGAGAGTGGCAGCATGCATTGTGTTCAACATCCCCAGCAGATGTGTTCCAGGATCACCAGCCTACAAACAGAAGTCAGTGGGGTGGACTGGTGCTAAAGAGCAATGTCTGGATGAGATGCTTCTATTCTCTTTATGCTTTCCAGGGTTTGAATTAGAATTTTTACTGAAGTGCACCTTTAAGGCTCTGTTCCCACTAGCGCAACTCCAAAGTCATGCAATTTTGTGTGCGACCGTTGCAAATTTACACTCTTTGGCACTCAAGTCGCAAGAAAAGTTGTGTCAAAAGTAGTGCAGGAACCTTTTCAAAGTCACGTCAACTTTAAGTCCCGTATAGTGAAACTGGTACCATTGAAATCAATGAGTTGGGAATTATCATGCAACTTTAAAGTCGCACTAGAAGGAGGGAACCCAAGGCCCGGAAAAAGTCTTCAGTTATATATGGTCTGTGGATGTTCTTTCAGTCCCATGAAGAGCAGATGTCACCACAGGCCACACCAGTAGATATTCAAATTTGCAGAACAAAAAAAAGTGGAATCTGCTAATTTGTGGCCACCAACATACAGAATTCCTTGTGGTAACCTCTGTTCTTCATAGAGATGAGTGAAGGACCACAGATAATCACTGGTGGCCACCAAAGTCTGTGAAGCAAGCAGAGGGGGAATATCTTCGATCTTAAGGGCACCCTTTTTTTTTTTTCTCAACAAAACAAACACACTTCCCCTCTGGGATTTCTGATAGTTAGTGCAGTGCATTTTCGATGGCAGCAATGAGAAAATTCGAAGGAGCAGAATGAAACATTTATCTAGAACAAATTTCTAACAGGGAATGTGAATTATTTCAAATAAAAAATGTTTAAGAATATGTAAACTCAACATTTCCTATTCGTGATATAAGCCAGCTGTACCATATACTTGTATGAAAAAAAAGTCTATTCTCTTTGTATTGCTTCCTATGTGTGAAATTACTGGTGTTCCTGCCAGTCCCTCTGCTTTCCTGTTAAAAACTGACCACACTAGGCATGGGAGCACAGCGTGGTCAGTTCTCTAGCTGTTCTGGGAACTCTAGCTGTTTTCTCCAATGATTAGACTAGTTCTGGCACCTACCCTTCCTGCACAGCCATTCACTGGGAAGACCAGTGTACTACCATTCCGCCCCCCCCCCCCCCCCCTTCATTTGTGCAGCTCAGAACATAGGGAATGTAACAAATAAAGAGGGGGGGGGGGGTGAAAAAAGTATTTGTATATTTTTTGTTTTTATATCTGTACACAAATGTTTTGCCTTTTTTCGTTTTACTCCAGGTTCACTCCTAAGCGTTTTCTGCAGCGCTTTGCAGAAATGCAGTACAGTCCATTTAACATGATTTCCTATGTGACATGTCCACACCTGTGCGTTTTTACCCAGTGTGTTTTTTGGAAAAGGTCAGGAACCTTTTTGGAATGGATTTCAATGGAAACGCAGCAGAAAGCATGTATAGAGTGTTTGCCGCATTTTAAATCTGCCTAGCAAGAAAAAAAAACGCAAAAAAAATGCAATGCAACGCATCAAAAAATGCAACGCAGAAACGGCTCAAACGCAACCTGCAGGTGTGTGAACCTAGGGAAAAATGGGTTGTTTTACAAGGTGAGGGCTCACATATATCGAGTATTTTCAAACACCCTTCATCAAGTCATTGAACGTAGTTAGTATTTCCAAATAAAGGTGTTTTTGAAAGTCTATTGGTGTATGGCCAGCTTTAGGGCCAATTCACATCAGTGCGTTTATCTGCGTTTTAGCGCAGCTGTAAAAAAGCAAAATCAATGAAAGGACAGCTGAAAAGATCTCCTATTCACACCATAACATCCGCGCATGCATGTCAACGGGCATCAGGGTGCATTGAAACACAACTAAAATGGATGGAAGCGTACATGCATTTTCCATACATTTTAGCCATTAGGCCCCTTTCACATTGACTGTCTACCAGTCAGTTTTTCAGGAGGACCCAACCGGACCATCCATAGCCCTCTGTGGAGTGGTGGGTGTCAATGGACATGTGTCCCCTGCAGGGGCGGACTGACAATCCATTGGGCCCCCTGTGTCCTTGCCCACACTCAAAGCACATCTAAAAAAAAGCCTAGAAAAAAAAAAAAAAAAAGGTACCAGGGGAATTTGCCCCCTATGGACCTTGGGCAGTGCCCGAGTGCTCAATTGGTCATTCCACCCCTGGTCCCCTGACACCCACTGGGATCTGATACTGTAAGCTAAAAAAAAAAAAAAAAAAAAAAAAAAAAGACTGTTGGGGGGAATCATTCCCAGTCCGTCCGGTGGATCGGATGACAGCTGGATGGAAAAGGACAGGCGGTCCAATTCTCCCTTACTGCCCCATAGAATAGCATAGCTGAGCAGACACGGACCTGTCACCCGCTTGTTCAGCGGAGACATCCCCCGTAGAATAGGTGGATCCACTTGACGGAGTCCACCACATCTGAAAGAGCCCTTAGGGAGAGTCCAGTGGCCTCTTACCAGTCTGCCTAGGAGCCCCATGACTGTATATACTGACCATAACAGATAATAGATACAACCTGAAGTAGGAGGCCCTCCTGGGATGCGGGAAAAAAAAAAAAAAAAAAAAAAAAAAAAACGACAAAAGATGTAAAATACCAAAATGACCTGCAGATATATACGTAGAGACCTCTTGACTAACCTGCTGTGCAGAAAAAACAGTTTGGCGAGACCCCAGACCAGTCTTATGGCATTCCTACATTCCAGAATGAAAAGGTAGCCAACACCTATCACCACATTCCGGAGATGCTCTCTACATGGTGGGGTAAACCATACGCAGACAGCCAGCATAGAATTGATACTGACTCTACACAATCAGAACCAGAATCATCCCTACAGAATCAGCACCACATATACAACAGACATCCATTGAAACTAGAGGAGCTCAGATGTTAAAATGGTGCCAGCAAGACAGATGGTGAAAAAGAACCTTCTTGTTGTATGTGACCACGGGAGAGATTCCTCCAGACACTATCGCACATAGGGGTCATGATGCCCTGCACCAGGAGCAGACTGACAACTCATGGGGCCCCTGAGCAATAGGGGATCATGGGGCCCCTGTGTCCTTGCCCACGCTAAAAAAAAAAAAAAAAAAAAAAAAAAAAAAAAAGCCAGGGGCATTTCATGGGGCCCCCTACTGACCCAGGGCCCTCGGGCAGTGCCCTAGTGCTCAAATGGTCAGTCCGCCCCTGCCCCGCACTGCCGATGAAGCAGTCCGTACACCATAATGCACAGCCCTGAAGTGATTATCCATCATAATTGCTTGCAATGGCAAGCTGTCATTGTCAGCACAGCCACATGACCGCAAAGAACATCCGAGGAGTCTCTCCACCAAAGTTGTCCTAGAAAAATTAGGGCTTCCCATTGGTCAGCATGGTCACGTTGACCATTGAGAGCATTATGAAGGCTGTGTATTGTGATGTATGGACTGCTAGACCGACAGCACGGGGCATCACAGCCATCATCGTGACATCACCACCCCACCTTGTCCAATCAGGGAACACTTTGCCTTCATTGAGAAAAAAACAAAGTGTTCTCTGAAGGGCACCTGTGCCAAGCATGTGACCTCCTGTGTTCAGTAAGCAGCAGGACGGCCAATTGGCACGTGACCTTGAAGCCAGTGGAGATCACTGGAGGAGCAGTGCCAACCTCACAGGTGTGGCAAATACATTGGCCCAAGCTGCACCAGTGTAACTATGTAGCAATTACCATGCCCAAAATTCAGCTTTAGCCTCATCCCCATCTTCTGCCCATGGTGTCTTGGGGAGGAGGACGTTGTG